GTGGTGTTGGAGGGTAGTGTAGGAGGGTAGAGGGTGTGTTGGAGGTAGTGTAGGAGGGTAGAGGGGTGTGGAGTATGTAGAGGTAGAGGTAGGTGTAGGAGGGTAGTTGAGGGTAGAGTGGGGTTGGAGGTAGTGTAGGAGGGTAGAGGGTGGTGTTGGAGGGTAGTGTAGGAGGGTAGGGAGTGTGTTGGAGGTAGTGTAGGAGGGTAGAGGGTGGTTAGGAGTAGTGTGGAGGGTAGAGGGTGGTGTTGGAGGTAGTGTAGGAGGGTAGAGGGTGGTGTTGGAGGGTAGTGTAGGAGGGTAGAGGGTGGTGTTGGAGGTAGTGTAGGAGGGTAGAGGTGGTGTTGGAGGTAGTGTAGGAGGTAAGGGTGTGATGGAGGTAGTGTAGGAGGGTAGAGGTGTGTTGGAGGGTAGTGTAGGAGGGTAGAGGGTGGTGTTGGAGGGAGTAAGGGTAGAGTGGGTTGGGTAGGTAGAGGTAGGTGGTGTTGGAGGATAGTGTAGGAGGGTAGAGGGTGGTGTTGGAGGGTAGTTTTGAGGTAGGGTGTGTTTGGAGAATATGTAGGAGGGTGGTGTTGGAGGGTAGTGTAGGAGGGTAGGGGTGGTGTTGGAGGATAGGTAGGAAGGTTGAGGTTGTTTGGAGGGTAGAGGGTGGTGTTGGAGGATAGTGTAGGAGGGTAGAGGGTGGTGTTGGAGGATAGTGTAGGAGGGTAGAGAGTGTGGTTGGAGGATAGTGTAGGCGGGTACGGGTGGTGTTGGAGGATAGGGTAGAGTAGAGGGTGGTGTGGAGGGTAGGGGTGGTGTTGGAGGATAGTGTAGGAAGTAGAGGGTGGTGTTGGAGGGTAGTGTAGGAGGGTAAGGGTGTGGTGTTGGAGGATAGTGTAGGAGGGTAGAGGTGGTGTTGGAGGATAGTGTAGGACGGTTAGAGGTGGTGTTGAAGGATAGTGTAGGGGGTAGAGGGTGGTGTTGTAGGATAGTGTAGGAGGGTAGAGGGTGGTGTTGGAGGATAATGTACGAGAGTAGCGGGTGGTTTGGAGGATAATGTAGGAGGGTTGAGGGTGGTGTTGGAGTATAATGTAGGAGGGTAGAGGGTTGTGTTGGAGGGTAGAGGGTGGTGTTGGAGGATAGTGTAGGAGGTAGAGGGTGGTGTTGGAGGTAGTGTAGGAGGGTAGCGGGTGTGTTGGAGGATAGTGTAGAGGGTAGAGGTGGGTTGGAGGATAGTGTAGAGGGTAGAGAGTGGTGTGAAGATAGTGTAGGTGGGTAGAGGGTGGTGTTGGAGGATAAGTAGAGGGTGAGGTGGTGTTGAGATAGGTACGAGAGTAGCGGTGGTGTTGGAGGATAATGTAGGAGGGTTGAAGGTGGTGTTGGAGGATAGTGTAGAAGGGTTGAGCGTGGTGTTGGAGGATAGTGTAGGAGGGTAGAAGGTGGTGTTGGAGGATAGTGTAGAAGGTTGAGCGTGGTTGGAGGATAGTGTAGGAGGGTAGAGGATGGTTGTTGGAGGATAGTGTAGGTGGGTAGAGGGTGTGTTGGAGGAGAGTGTAGGAGGGTAGCGGGTTGGTGTTGGAGGATAGTGTAGGAGGGTTGAGGGTGGTTGAAGGATAGTGTAGGAGGTTGGGGTGGTGTTGGAGGATGTGTAGGTGGGTAGAAGGTGGTGTTGGAGGATAGTGTAGGAGGGTAGCGGGTGGTGTTGGAGGACAGTGTAGGTGGGTAGAAGGTGGTGTTGGAGGATAGTGTAGGAGGGTAGACGGGTGGTGTTGGAGGATAGTGTAGGTGGGTAGAAGGTGGTGTTGGAGGATAGTGTAGGAGGGTAGAGGGTGGTGTTGGAGGATAGTGTAATGTTGGTAGAGGGTGGTGTTGGAGGATAGTGTAGGAGTGTTGAGGTGGTGTTGGAGGATAGTGTAGGAGGGTAGAGGGTGGTGTTGGAGGATAATGTAGGTGGGGTGAAGGTGGTATTGGAGGATAGTGTAGGAGGGTAGCGGTGTTGTTGGAGGATAGTGTACGAGGGTTGAGGGTGGTGTTGGAGGATAGTGTAGGAGGGTAGAGGGTGGTGTTGGAGGATAGTGTAGGTGGGTAGAGGGTGGTGTTGGAGGATAGTGTAGGAGGGTAGAGGGTGGTGTTGGAGGATAGTGTAGGAGGGTAGAGGGTGGTGTTGGAGGTAGTGTAGGAGGGTAGAGGGTGGTGTTGGAGGATAGTGTAGGAGGGTAGAGGGTGGTGTTGGAGGGTAGTGTAGGAGGGTAGAGGGTGGTGTTGGAGGTAGTGTAGGAGGGTAGAGGGTGGTGTTGGAGGATAGTGTAGGAGGGTAGAGGGTGGTGTTGGAGGGTAGTGTAGGAGGGTAGAGGGTGGTGTTGGAGGATAGTGTAGGAGGGTAGAGGGTGGTGTTGGAGGATAGTGTAGTAGGTAGAGGGTGGTGTTGGAGGGTAGTGTAGGAGGGTAGAGGGTGGTGTTGGGGTAGTGTAGGAGGGTAGAGGGTGGTGTTGGAGGATAGTGTAGGAGGGTAGAGGTGTGTGTTGGAGGGTAGTGTAGGAGGGTAGGGGTGGTGTTGGAGGGTAGTGTAGGAGGGTAGAGGGTGGTGTTGGAGGGTAGTGTAGGAGGGTAGAGGGTGGTGTTGGAGGATAGTGTAGGAGGGTGAGGGTGTGTTGGAGGGTAGTGTAGGAGGGTAGAGGGTGGTGTTGGAGGTAGTGTAGGAGGGTAGAGGGTGGTGTTGGAGGATAGTGTAGGAGGGTAGAGGTGTGTTGGAGGTAGTGTAGGAGGGTAGGTGTGTTGGAGGTAGTGTAGGAGGGTAGGGTGGTGTTGGAGGATAGTGTAGGAGGGTAGAGGGTGTTGAGATTGTAGGAGGGTAAGTGGTGGTGGTTGGAGGGTAGTGTGGAGGGTAGAGGGTGGTGTTGGAGGTGTGTAGGAGGGTAGAGGTGGTTTGGAGGTAGTGTAGGAGGGTAGAGGGTGGTGATGGAGGATAGTGTAGGAGGGTAGAGGTGTGTTGAGGTATGTAGGAGGTAAGGTGGTGTTGGAGGGTAGTGTAGAGGGTAGAGGTGTGTTGGAGGATAGTGTAGGAGGGTAGAGGGTGGTGTTGGAGGATAGTGTAGGAGGGTAGAGGGTGGTGTTGGAGGGTAGTGTAGGGGGTAGAGGTGTGTGGAGGATAGTGTAGGAGGGTGGTGTTGGAGGGTAGTGTAGGAGGGTAGAGGGTGGTGTTGGAGGATAGTGTAGGAAGGTAGAGGGTTGTGTTGAGGTAGAGGGGTGTTGGAGGATAGTGTAGGAGGGTAAGGGGTGTTGGAGGATAGTGTGGAGGGTAGAGAGTGTGGTTTTAGGATAGTGTAGCGGGTAGCGGGTGGTGTTGGAGGATAGGTAGGAGGTAGAGGGTGGTGTTGGAGGGTAGGTGGGTTGGATAGTGTAGGGTAGAGGGTGGTGTTGGAGGGTAGTGTAGGAGGGTAGCGGGTGGTGTTGGAGGATAGTGTAGGAGGGTAGAAGGGGTGTTGAGGATAGTGTAGGACGGTAGAGAGTGGTGTTGAAGATAGTGTAGTGGTAGAGGGTGGTGTTGTAGGATAGTGTAGGAGGGTAGAGGGTGGTGTTGGAGGATAATGTACGAGAGTAGGGGTGGTGTTGGAGGATAATGTAGGAGGGTTGAGGGTGGTGTTGAAGTATAATGTAGGAGGGTAGAGGGTGTGTTGGAGGGTAGAGGGTGGTGTTGGAGGATAGTGTAGGAGGTAGAGGGTGGTGTTGGAGGGTAGTGTAGGAGGGTAGCGGGTGGTGTTGAGGATAGTGTAGGAGGGTAGAAGGTGGTGTTGGAGGATAGTGTAGGAGGGTAGAGAGTGGTGTTGAAGGATAGTGTTAGGTGGGTAGAGGGTGGTGTTGGAGGATAATGTAGGAGGGTAGAGGGTGGTGTTGGAGGATAGTGTACGAGAGTAGCGGGTGGTGTTGGAGGATAATGTAGGAGGGTTGAAGGTGGTGTTGGAGGATAGTGTAGAAGGGTATGAGCGTGGTGTTGGAGGATAGTGTAGGAGGGTAGAAGGTGGTGTTGGAGGATAGTGTAGAAGGGTTGAGCGTGGTGTTTTAGGATAGTGTAGGAGGGTAGAAGGTGGTGTTGGAGGATAGTGTAGAAGGGTTGAGCGTGGTGTTGGAGGATAGTGTAGGAGGGTAGAGGATGGCTTTGGAGGATAGTGTAGGTGGGTAGAGGGTGGTGTTGGAGGAGATAGTGTAGGAGGGTAGCGGGTGGTGTTGGAGGATAGTGTAGGAGGGTTGAGGGTGGTGTTGAAGGATAGTGTAGGAGTGTTGAGGGTGGTGTTGGAGGATAGGTAGGTGGGTAGAAGGTGGTGTTGGAGGATAGTGTAGGAGGGTAGCGGGTGGTGTTGGAGGACAGTGTAGGTGGTAGAAGGTGGTGTTGGAGGATAGTGTAGGAGGGTAGCGGGTGGTGTTGGAGGATAGTGTAGGTGGGTAGAAGGTGGTGTTGGAGGATAGTGTAGGAGGGTAGCGGGTGGTGTTGGAGGATAGTGTATGTGGAGCGGGTGGTGTGTTGGAGGATAGTGTAGGAGGGTAGAGGGTGGTGTTGGAGGATAGTGTAGGTGGGTGAAGGGTGTATGAGGATAGTGTAGGAGGGTGAGGTGGTGTTGGAGGATAGTGTAGGAGGGTACGGGTGATGTTGGAGGATAGTGTAGGAGGGTAGGTGGTGGTGTTGGAGGATAGTGTAGGAAGGTAGAGGGTGGCGTTGGAGGATAGTGTAGGTGGGTAGCGGGTGGTGTTGGAGGATAGTGTAGGAGGGTAGAGGGTTGTGTTGGAGGATGTTTAGGTGGGTTGAGGGTGGTGTTGGAGGATAATGTAGAGGGTAGAGGGGAGTGTAGGAGAGTGGAGAGAGAGAGAATGCTGATCTGTGGTGCATTTGGGTGGAGGGTGATGCAGGTCGGTGATGATTGGTGAAGAGTGGTGAAGGAGGGTGGTGCAAAATGGTGGAGAGTGGTGCTGGTTGGTGAAGAGTGGTGGAGGAGGGAGGGAGGATGGAGGCTGCAGCAGTGCCC